AATGGAAAAATAAATATAATTATAAACTTAAATAAAAACGTAAAATATTCAATCAAAATAAAATAAGGCTCTAAATAAAGTAAAAATTTAATTTGCTATTTTCAAAATAACTCACTGCACAGGTTGACATAATGAGTAACTCCAAACTTAAAGGAAATAAAAACTATATAAGGCCATGATCTGATAAATCTACCGAAACGATATTTATTTGAGGCATGGAATAGAGGCTGGATGACAGATACTTCCAAAGGGAAGCACTATCGCTTCAAAGGAGTCTCTCTCGCAAGCCAGGGCTTAATAAAATGAAGTTTGACAAAAAACTACCTCTATTATTCGTAGGCTGCGGCTTGGTCACGTGACAACTCCTGAGCATCGTTTAATTTAAAATTGTATCGGACCCTGCATGCTCATTTGGGGCCTACGGGGATCTAAGTCATATCTTCTTCTCCTGACCTGACTCACGATACTTTGATATCCGAACTCCTGGCAATCAATTTCCATTCCCCACTTCCATAACAAGCTTATTACATTTACGTAACAAAGATGTATATAATGTACTGGCCTTATTTATCGAAAATAATAACGTCAAGCTTTACCATACATACCGATAGATACCTTGATAGCTACTCACCTACCCAATCTATCAGATCCTTTTTCATTCGAATTTGTCCATAATCCGTAATTCTGTTTCCCTAACCTTTTGCTTGCTAAATACGAAGGCAAAGCCATTAACAATAATAATAAAAAAATTCCATAACATTGACGTTCTATTTTCTCAATGTCTCCCGGCAATCATCGAATTTCCGAATGCACACGAACGTCGAGCATATAACTAGAAATAGAGACGAAATAAAAGAAAAAAATACAGTCGAGTTGTCGAAATTATTGATGTTATGCATTGTTATGTACTTTTCCTCGCGGAAGGGCAAGATCTTTAGACCATGCAGCCTAGTCAAGTACATAAATATCTTTGTATTTTGTATTTTTTAAATTTGTATGGTAACCTGTTATAATCATATTACCCATACAAAGTACTCTGTTAGTGTATAGTCAGAACAAATTCAAATTAAAATTATTTATTGCATTCATGTTGTTACATAAGTCTTAAGTTAGGTAGTATAGATCAAACATGAACCCTGTAAGAGCACAGCAATGTCAGTCCTAAATTCTAAATAAATCTAAATTTGGATTACAATTTTTACATCATTTCTTAATTTGATATGCGATAAAACAAACAATCAATTTTGTTGTATTTTGTGTATATTAATATAGTCAAAAGTAATAAGCTCTTAGCTAATAAGCGCTTAGTTAGCACGCGTAGCAAGCATTCAGGGTAGTTCACAGACATAGTGCGTGGGACTTTAGCTAGAAGATGTGAATATGACGAATAAAAGCATCCGAAATTGGAATTTGACTGCATTGTGTGACGTCATCGAAACGCCCTTCTAATATTTTTTTTTTTACACCAACTCTAATCCTAAGCCCGCATTAGACTGGCGTTGTCGACATGTGTGAGTGCATGATAACAATTTATGCTATTCAGTACTCGGACAAGGAAATCGCAGGTGTTATGTAGAAAGGATGAGAGCGACATGTCGAAAAATGTAACCAATGAGCAGTTTTACTGCTCCGTTTTACGTTTTCTTTTATTTTATAATAATACCAAACCAATGACGGGACGAGCAAGTCGTATGCCTGGTGGTAAGCAACACGCCTGTCCATAACAGTTGCAGTACTGCCATTGCGCCCGTTACCCTTTCAAAACCGAAACGCAGAAATGCTTACATAACTACTTGGCGGCAGAAGTAGGTCGCAGTACTTCCCTGGACGAACTCTTTCACAAGCAGTTCTAATGTTACTAGACTTTCACGACTGTTTTATTTATGTCTTCTCTTAAATTCAATTTTAAAAGAAGGATGGCGACATCCCGTGTATTTGGTGGCCCAGTGGTTTTGACGATGTGCATTAAAAAGACTTGTCAATACTTGTGATTCATTATCAAAGCATCAAAATAACTAATTGAGTACAGCCTGTGGAAGCTGGGGTTATAAACTTGATAAAGGTTACGTTTATAACATTGTCCTGTATTTCGCTTCAGATGTATATTCGTAGTAGCAGAAAACAAATTTTCAGTTTGTTCCCAAAAATAATAAAGAACTTGCTGAATGTTTCCAAATCTGCCAAGCTCTGCCACATTTAATACAACGTTAACGTGTTTTACTGCAATGAAAATGAATAAAAATTCTTCTTCTTCTTTTAAATGTTGTGGCCCCATCGAAATAATCAATGATTTTGCCAATGTCAAGTAAAAATAACTATGTACGGTAGTTTAGTATTATTATAAAAATTATACAAAAATAATGGCGATTTCGCCAATGTCTTGTGAAAATAATACATCCGTCCGAATAAAAATTCTTCTTCTTTTAAATGTTATGGCTCCATCGAAATAATCAATGATTTTGCCAATGTCAAGTAAAAATAACTATGTACGGTAGTTTAATATTATTATAAAAATTATACAAAAAAATGGCGATTTCGCCAATCGAATAAAAATTAAATCTATCCAAATGGTTGTGTTCTCAATCTCATTGTGACATTGGCAATAGGCCTCTTGTCAAAACGTTCCTTTGCTAACTTTCTCTCATTTAAATATTGTCTAAACATCTTTGTCACATTATGTTTCATTTTTTACTTTATGTCTATTGATTATTTGATTACTTAGATATTTTATAGCTTTCATGTTTTATATGTGTTATTATTTGTAAGTCAATGGTGTTACTATAAAATAACCAATACTTTAGGTAGGTCAACATTCAATCATGCTTAAAATGAAACGTACGAACAAGAACGTTACCTAATCTATGGTCGAACTGAATCAATTGCGTTGTATTTTTGCATCTATTCTAAAATACGTTCCTTTACAATTTCTTTATTCCCGACTTCTAAAAATATCCAAAAACATATTGATAACCAGGTATAAACTAAAACGTAAAATTGCACTAGCAAAGCCCATGAATGACTTTTCGTTGATTTTATAATTATTGGGTCAGCTTTCGCCATCCTTATATATTTTAAAACAGCCGTTAAAACATAAAACATGCTAGCTTGAAAAATGTTTCGAAACATCGCTTACGCCTTTTCTACAAAGTACCTACGATGTGCATATTTTATCAGTCTGTTTGTTTATAGGCAATAATAAAGACAAGAATTTTTTCAAGGTGCTCTGTAAAACATATTATCCACTTTAACAGTGTCAAGGAGATGTATTATTTATTTATTTTATGTAAGAAATCTTTTGATGAAAATTGTAGTAGGTACATAATATGTATAATGTTTAATGTATATTTTTAACAATGCTGACGTAGTTATTATATGATTTGTTCCACAAATTCCTACTAAAAATCCCCACAGGTGAAAAATCCCCACTATCAACTTTTTTATTTCATTTACTTATTCATCAGTTCTTGGCAAAACAACACTATTTTCAATTCCATATATATACATATGTATATGTATTCCAGTACATTACTCACTAATTAAGTTACATTAAAAAATTAGATAATTATAAAACATTCGTTCTTTACATCACTTTATTCAATTGTGCTTACTAAATTATTATTGGCTATTTTAGACAGACGCGCGCTTGCAACCTTTTCAATCAAAACAAGGAAAGATACTGACATATAAAGCTGTATGTTGGAACCTTTGCCTACCCAAATAAATGACGGAAATTTATAAAGAAATTACGAAAATATTTACAATTTTGATTTCGCTATAACTTCCTTATGATAGAGGTACAAATTTTTAAGAATGAGTACTAAATAGTACAATTTTGTTACATTTTTTGGTACCAAATATGTCAGGATTCGTTAATCTCAATATATTTTGTCTTATTTCTCAGAAACTCTGTAGCAAAGGAAACTCCAGCTCGATCTGCTGGTTGATCGAGCTGGAGTTTCCTTTACTACAAATAGTACAAATTTTTGGAATAAGAAGTTTTTATAGTTACTAAATAAATACTGGTAATCCGAGGTACACCTTGTACCTTTGATATTGCTATAACTTCGTTCTGATGGAGGTACAAATTTTTTAAACAGAGGTACTAAATAGTACCTCTAACATACATATGTAATAATAATATAATATAATAATGTATACACTCAACATAGCCCCTCACTATGGAAACCCTGTGTCGCGGGTTATCATGGACACACACATAGACAACACATTACACCCAAACTCACTGTTTTGCTAGATGAAATAGTTTAGGTATTTACCAATAAATAACGATCTTACTGACATAACAGACAACAAGTAAGGATAAGGATTAAAGATTAGTAAAGACACCGGATTGCGAGGCGACCCCTCACACCTCACTATCGAAAATATAGACTCGTTGAAATACCTCGCCTTAAGAAAGAAACGCAATTAATCTGTGTCATAATGTTGACGGGGCATTGGCGCTGAAAATCAATTGTTTACGAAAAAAACCCGAATCTGTTCTACGTAACTACGTTTCGCGGAATAAAATTTTAGGATCCCACCAATGGGGATTTTTAGTGGGGATTTGTGGAAGAAACTCCTCATATGACAACATTTACTAAGAGTCAAGCCGGACATGAGTAATCATTTGAATTGTGAGTCGCTTAATTTACACTGCCTTTTGGTTATCAACGTATTTATCTATCAAGGTAACAGGCGCAGTGGCAGTGCCCTTCAGATCTTTGTGATTTAAAGCTCGGAGTGGCACAGCAACTGTTATGGATAAGCGTGTCGCATACCACCAGGTGCACGACTTGTTCATGCTGTCACTTAGTATTATAAAAAAAAAAGTTGTTATCCAACACATTAGCATTAAATTAAATCTAGCGCTACATCTAAAGAATTGCGGCGGCGTAATTTCGGTTTCTGATATCGCTATTCTACCATACTCAATTCTATGACGAGATAATGAATTTTAGATGTTAGCGTAAGCGAAATGAAAAATATATTTTTAAAGAACGTGTTTTATTTCCTATCAAAATTACGCCTGTCGATTGTATCATATCGATGAATTCAATTCTGAAACGAAACAAACATATTTTAAGTAAATTTTATGACAAAATTATTGCCAAACCTGGAATACTCTTTTCGAACTGTGTAGCAGTTTGCATACATTTCATTGACTCGATCTCTAGCGGTCACTCGCGTTCTCCGTCCGAAACAATTAGAGCCCAGTTACACAAGAAAGTTTGACCGCCCAGTTACCACGCCTCCTTTCTACATTAATTACGAATCTGAATTATATTAACTAGGCAACAACATTTAAATTCCTCTGAACAATAGAAGCGCCAGTCGCCGCCTGGGTCGCCGTGTACACCAAACTCAAGCCAGACTCGCACGCGTGTCCGGGACGGTCATTTAAGTTAAAACGTAAAAGCGCACAACTGCTGTATAAACGCATACGCATAGTTGTGCCTTTTTTCGTTACGTGGGCAGTATCGTAATAGGGCAACGAAAGGCTAAAAATTCTTAAATATATAAGTAGAATTATTAATACAAAGATCAAACACTCAGAAAGAAATTCCTTCGATCCGGCCGGATTCGAACCGACATCTTCTAGCATACCGTGTCAGACGCTATACCAACTAAGCCACGGAACGAACCTCGTGAATTTTTTATATGTGCTTGCGTCGTATGTTTGTATTTGGTTTTTCAACGACTTTTTAGCCGTAACGCCATCTATGAGAAATCTATGATATTTCGTCACCCAGTTAGATACCTTTACAGCTACCAGCCGCGGCTAGAGATATCGCTAATCATTGTATTAAAATTTTTATTAAATTGATATTTTAAGTGTAATATTCGGTATACGTTATCTATAGCATAGTTCAATTTTTTTCTGTATTAATTCATAATGTAATATGTCCAGACTGAGGGGAAGCGGGAAAAACTGTTTAGCTAGATGAAATGGTCTAGGTTTTTACTAGTAAATATTACAAAAATATGCGATACACCAAAGACTGCTAACAGTTTGCATGTCGATCTCGACTTTCGGTTTACTCAGACAGACTAAGAATGTTATTGTCTAAAGATTGTGCTAATTTGTTACACGAATTACACGATAGGATGTATTACGCCTGATCATATAAAATTCTGAAAACAGGCTAAAATACAGGTCTAAGATAAATATCCAATTTGGCACTTTTCTTCAAGCACTACAGAGAACCAGTTAAATTTTGGTTTTCAACTCAAGCCCTGTAGTTGTTAAATTTAAATTTATCCCAAAATTTTTAAATTGCCCAGTGCCCGCTGCCCAATGTTAATTTTCAGCACGCGGATTGCGGGACACAAGGAGCGGTCCCCCACACCTCACCTCCCAAAATGTAGGCTCGCGCTATCAAAGTTGACTAGTAGTACTAGCACGACAAGGCGCGACTTGCGCGAGAGTGATATGAAGCGCGAGATGTCTATGCGAGAATAGCAGTCTCTCGCGCTTTAAGTCGCTTTCGCGCAAGTTGTGCTGGCCCTACTGCTCATGACTGTGTACGTTCCAGATAAGTAAGTATACCACGTACTGGTTTGAGTATTACGTCTAGTAAAAACTGTAGCGAAGAGTCTCCCTTCTTTCTGACTGTGCCAACGCGTTGATTCATTGAAAATCCGTTCAACATCGAAGCCGGTACTCTGCAAGCAATTACACTGATACAGAATCTGTTGATGCAAGTAATAGCGCACAAAAAAGCAAGAATTTCCCTCGTTTACCAAATATTTTTAGTAGCAGTAGAGCTTTTTGTAGTAGCACGGTTATGAAGTAGACATTGGATAAAAGAAAATTATAATATATAAAGTAATGAATCACGAAAATTTGAGGTATGTCATACTAAAATAGAAATATACAAAAGAAATGCAAAACTATTTAAACAACATTTCAGGAATGTTCAATCGAAATTCATTTACAATTACTGGTGACGCTATAGCGTCGAAGGTTCTATAATTTTTTTTTTCTTATTACGTGTGGCGCACTATAAGTTTCCGGGATGAATAAGAAAAAAACTATAAATGGGCAGAAATGAATTTATTGTTCCTCAAAATAATAAGTAATTCTAGAAGAAATTAGTTGTTTTAAAATTCTAAACACATGAAGGCAAAATAAGAGAAACTCAACCTGCGATACAAAAATATATACTGGCTGATCGAACGAAATAGCAGATGTCAATAGATAATGAAGTACTCATCTACAAAACAATACTAAAGCCAGCATGGATGTATGGAATCCAACTAGATATGGAGAAGCGCCTGTGACACCAATATATCCATGTTAAAAAGAACGCAAAACATTATCTTGCGTAGTATAGCTAATGTACCCTTACAATAGACGTACAATAAATTGGCAAAAACAGTTCAAAATCTTTTTTTTTTTACAACATCGTGATGGCAAGCCACTCGTCTGTCCATAACAGTCACAGTGCCTCTCAGAGCTTTAAATTGCAAAGATCTAAGGTGCACTACCACTGCGCCCGTCACCCTGAGACATAAGTTGACAGTTATAAGAAAAGGCTCAAACGAAAAGATATACTCCCGTTGAAGTAATGTAGTTTGTAGATAAAGGGGAAGAAAGTCACAGTGAAGAGTTCGCCTGCATAGACTATTATATTAATAGTCAAATCTATTTCTATTCTTAGGAAACGAAACTATTTTTCCGGATTTAAATCGTGTATATTTGTTTTTTCAACAAACCGTCGTTTCGGGCCCTTTACAGGTCCCATGGTCACGGTTGACAGGACCTGTAAAGGGCCCGAAACGTCGGTTTGTTTGAAAAAACAAATATACGCGATTTAAATCCGAAAAAATAGTTTCATTTCCTATGTGTAACAATCGCAAAAACCTAAGAACTCGATATTTCTATTCTATTAATAGATCTCATTATTTAAAGCATATTACCAAAACTTTTACACAAGCAGCCTGTGGGTGAAGTATACGCAGAGAACCCTGAATACATTAAGGGTGCAATATAACAATGCTTTTAGGATGGCAATGGGGCTACCGCGAAACTGTAGTGCATCCGGTAGTGTTCATGGAGGCGCACATAGACGGCTTTCATGCCATTATGCGCAAGAAAGCTGCCTCACTCAGGATGCGTGTGCGCGGCAGTGCTAATGGCGTCCTAAACGTCGTTGCCAACAGGCTGCACTGCCCCTACCAACTACATTTGGTGCAACTACACGTGCATAGGCTAGTGGTCTCGACGTGGCATTTCACTAGAATTAAATAATTTTGTATTGTACTAACCATATCACGTAAGAAAAATTTACTGTGTTACTAACATTACTATGGATCATGGTCCGAAATAAATTATTCTATTCTATTCTATCGACTTAACCGATTATCAACACATTCGCTAATAGTGGCACTAATTTCAAATGAATCACTACAAAAAAAATTCAAAAGTTCCAAATCTAATTTGCGCTTTATGACTCAAAAGCTCATTGTTGTTGCTCTCATTCATCTCATTTTAATTGTCAAGGTGTTGTGTGTTGTTGTTGTGGTGTATTTTTTGTCATTGTTAGGTTATGTACGTAAATTTTGACTTACATTAATTCCTATTGGGCAACGTATCGCGTTTTCTCCGCCTACGTATCCAAACATGTACGAAATGTGATATATCAAATAAATTAATCCATAAAAGTGCATTCGCATCGCTGAAAATAAGATATAAAAAACACAAATCCAAATTATAAATGTGAAACACTCAACACTACACCAAATGAAGAAAGATTTTCATGAATAAACAAAACAAAAGCAATTGAATGGTAGAACTTGGAGTTGTTGAGAAGTTGGTACAAAATAGATAACGATGGATTTATTTTATGTGCCGTACAATCCTGGTTCGAATTTAAAACATTACCTGCACTGAGTATCAGCAACGAAATATTGGCAGCTTCCTTGACACGTTGGCTGATACGCTGTTCCCAATAACACATGCACAATAGGGAATTGAACCCAACACTCACGTTCACGTGCATGATCTTTTCCTAAAAGTTATTTTTCCTCACTATAATTTTCAGTTAACAATTTTTCCCGTTTTGCAAAAAAGAAACGAACGGCGAAGCTCTAAAAAGGACAGCCCTGAAATCGCGCTTCTTACGAAAGAAGAATCCATTTTGGATACCAACGAAATTTGTGACATTCAATGAACGCGAATTGGAAATTAGTGTCCAAGGGCCTCCATAATTATAGTGGACAATTTGTCGAATCGATGGTGTATATTTATGTCATTAACGATTAACTTGAATGCCAGGGGAGTAGCGTAGTCGATACGGTTACCGTTACGATCGATCGAAAGGTGAAATCGTACATATATGTGGATCTTTAGGTCGTCCTTTTACCATTTAACCGTTAAATTATCTTAACAGACTCAACATCTCGAGATTATCGATCCAAAAGTTAGTGTCTTTTTAGGTCGATAATATCAAATTTCATGCAAAATTCTAATGACAATGGAATTTTAGAATAGAACTGGCTAGGAAATATTACGAGACGTGATGATAACAGATGGAGTAAAGAGACAATCGAACGGTTTGGCTACCGTCCGACCTGAATCAAAATAATACACTCCTTGCTTTCTGCACTCGAAGACACCCAAAGCCGATGTTGGAAAAAAGACTACCAAGCTGAACTGGACACGTCTGTTGCTTGTACTCTCAGAGATGGCATCACACAGGCACTTGATGGATGCAGGACGGCCGACCCCCTTATTTTTCTTCATTAGTTTTGATTATAATCACCCCCCTACCGACCCTTATTGTTTACGAGAAGGGCACTATAACCTGTGCGCGCACAGGGACTTTAGAAGTTCAGGTTCTGACCCCAGATCAGCCAGTGTAAGGATTGTCATAGACCTTTGTCACTTGACTTCATCCGGCTCCCGAGAACTGAGTGCACGTATAGTACCCTCTCTATTTTCCAAATTGGTACCGGAGCTGTAGGCGCGCTCACTTCCTGTTGCGCATCGCACAACTAGCGGTTGGCACCGCCAAGCCGTCGACTCTAAAATATGAAGACGGCCAGAGGACGACAAGGCAAACGATGACTTGGATGCATAGATAAGGGACTGACCTTCTCGTATTGATGGCATACACTATAATACGTGCCATCGTCGTGGAAGGATTTGCCAATCGATGTAAGATCCTCGCCGATTATTACCTAGAGCGCGCCAAATGAAGAAAGGAATGGTACGTCGTCTAGGGAGGCTTCTTTCGTGCATTCCCTGCGACTTGCATCACATTACATCAAATCGAGATAGGCCAGTGGGACACAATAGGGCAATAAAAAATCCTTATTTTGAATAATTATCTACCATATTATTTCAATGACATCTATCGACGCGGCCAGGCAGGGCTGTCCTCCAAATCGATAAATCATCGTGGTAGTCGATGTGTTGAATGTTGTCTCTATACCAACCACTGCAAACATAGCACAAGTGGAGCCAAGACACAAACGCAATAGTTCCTGCGATAAGGTCATCGTCTGCGACAGTTCCAAAAGCAATTTCCATCGCTCTTGTGGCGTCGTATCTGCATATTGCTATGTACATCACTTTTTAACATGAAATATTTGTGACAATATATAATTTTTGCTCTTGGTCTTTGTGACAAAACCATATATTTGGGAAAGACTTATTTGTACTTAAATTTTCGCGTTAATTTTTTTTTTGTTTTCCTAAGTGCCGCATGGCACAGGCGAAGGCGAACCAAACTGCCTAGTAGTAGTTTCTCTTTTTCTTCAGTATAAAATGTTTCGATTTCAATTTTCAGTATGAGATCCATCAGCTTAAGTCTTTATTTACACGGCTCTTACTTTTCGCATTCAGTATTATTCATAGAGGAAGGAAAAAGTATTACAATAATATAGCCAACGACAAGATTATTGTTTTTTTTTCTTGGCTTTTCACAGTTAGTAATTCAGTTACTTACCTACAACGTTTTAGAACTTGTCTTTAAAATGGAGAAACTTATAACACCGAAATGAGAAAACTTGTTATGTATCAAGGAATTCAGAGGACGAACTCAGATAGAAAGATCAGGAGAGGAATAATATGACAAGAAATATAGAACTTAACGAAACCAAATAAATATATTTTCTGTTTGACTACCCTTCACGGATGAGTATAGATACATAGATTTAAAAATATTAGTACACAACATGGAAAAAAGTATACGAATTTCTTGAGATTGCTCCACCAAGACACTAGAGCAATTTTAAAGGATTCTTTAGGAAAATTGTTAAGTATCAGGGGTCACTGTATGATAACCCAAACCATTAGGGTTATTGCTGATGCAGGTATCTTACAGCAGGTATTTTACAAACAATAAACGCGAAAAATGTACATCCTTACTGAATCTGTCTACATGAAATAGCTTTCTATTTATGTTTAGTTTTCTAATATTTTGTGACATTTATTAACAAAAGAATAGTTGGAGTTGGTGGTGGATAGAAGATGTGGAAAGCTTAAACTTGTTTAATTAACCTAGACAAACACGAATAAATAGATTTGTAAAGTACTTAGAGTTTTTCTTTTATTGACAGATTTCAAACATAACAAACAAACAGGTTCCAGTTGTCATAGTAACCCTTTTTCTTAACATCTCCTCTCAACAGAGACCTATTTGTTCTGAAATCCTCGTAATCCTGTGTCTGGCTAGTGGTTTCGTGAAAATATCAGCCAGCTGATCTTCACTAGTCACCTTGTCGACGTTCAGATCACCACTCTTCACCAGCTCTCTAACAAAAAAATGTCGGACTCGGATATGTTTAGTACGACGGTGAAATTCAGGATTTTCTGTTAGCCTTATAGCAGCTTCGTTATCAACTTTTAAACACGGAATCTTCTTAAGATTAACAAGATCCTTTATTAGTCGAGACAGCTATATAGTTTCTCTAGCAGCTTCGCTAGCCGCTACAATATCAGCCTCTGTAGTGGAAATTGAGACACTTGTCTGTCTTTGACTCAACCACGAGATGGCTCCTCCCGCATAAATGCACAGCACCCTGCTTGTGGATCTTCCAGTGCTGATATCTCCCGCGTGATCAGCATCGCTGTAACATTCCAAAATGCCTTGTTCGTAATTTTTCTTATACTTGATACCTAGATCGAGAGGTGTGTACTGCAAACACCGTATTATGTGCTTCAGTCGCACATAGACTGCTTCTTGCCGGACTCCGTGATAATACACTAACAGCATATGCAATGTCAGGTCTAGTGCATACCATTAAGCATGCCAAGGCTCCAACGATTGATCTGTAATTATTTTTCATATAACTCATATCCACTTTCTTGCTTGACGTACTGTCTTTTACAATCGGCGTGGAGACCGGTTTACAAGTATCCATCCCAAATTTCCTCAAGATCTTCTGTACATAAGAAGTTGGAATATTTTGATTCCATCTCCTCTGCTCTCTATCATTATTCCTAAGAAATAAGAGACAGGCTTTGTGGTTATCTTGAACCAACCTTTGAGTTCTTTAATTAGCTCGTCTAGCAGAACTTGACTTGATCCAGCGACCAGGCCATCATCCACGTACAAAGCCACAATCACTTTTCCGAACGCTGTTTTTTTTATCAAAAGACATGGATCTGCTTCACTTGTCTTAAAACCAATTTCATTGAAGAAGTCTGTAATACAACGGTCCCAGCATCGTGCTGCTTGCTTTAACCCATAAAGACTCTTCTGCAAAAGACAAACTCGACCCGAGCCGCCGTCATAGTTTTCCGGTTGTTTCATAAAAAATTCTTCATCTTTAATTACCAGTCTTGCCTTATATTTATCTACAGAGCCATCAGCGTTCATTTTAACTCGAAATACCCATTTGCAGGGTATGGCTTTTCTTCCTTTCGATAGGTTTACAAGCTTCCATGTATCATTTTCTTTTAATGTGTTAATTTCGCTGTTCATGGCTTCCTCCCATAGCTCCTTCTCCAGGCTTCTAATTGCATCTTTATGCGACGGTGGCACGTTGTATCCCATTACAGCATTCATAATAAAGTCTTAGAATCGATCTGGGGCACGTAATGACGAGCGATCACGAAGTATCATCTGATCCGGGAATATCTCTTCATAAACGACGTGATCTTGACTTAAAATACTTTCGTCTACGGCATTATCTTCATCAATGATATCATCTTCGTTATCGTTATCTTCATCAATGGCATCATCTTCGTTAACAATATCATTCCCCCCCGATTCAATAGACTTTTCTGGCAAAATGTTTTGGGCATCATGATATTCCTCATCAGCTTCCAAAATTTGTTCATCGATGCCATTTAGAACTTCTTTTTATTAAAAGTAGAAAAACTTCTAGAAAGATCCACCTCAACTTCATTTTCATTATTTATGGGTTCATTCATAGAAGTTCTTAAAGCTTTTTCGTTGAATATAACGTCTCTAGACCTTACCAATGAATTTTTATTTGGGTTCCAAAGTCTATACCCATCATCATCGTTGTAGACAATTAAAACGCAACGTGTAGCTTTCTTTTGCATTTTCTTTCTCCTCTGCTTTGGTACATGCGCAAAAGCAAAGTGAACCAATTATCCTTAAGTGCTTTATCTGAGGCTTCTTATTAAGCCAAAGTTCATAAGGCGATGTGTGTTCCACTGTAGTTGGTTCTGTCCTGTTCAAAATATGAACAGCAGTATTTACCATCTCAGTCCACAAATTCTGAGGTAACTCTTCATGCGCTTGCATCATTGCTCTGGCAGATTCGACTATAGTGTGGTTTTCCCTTTCCCTACACCCATTCTGTTCTGGCGTGTAAGGCGTAATAAGCCTTTGCTTTATTCCACTTTGTTCAAGTAGATCTCGTACTTTCTTATTATTGTATTCTCCCCCATTATCACTTGAAAGCTCCTTGACAACGTGTCCAGCATTTTTAGCCTCAGATAGCATTTGTTTCAGCTTTTTATATACATCGGATTTATTTTTCAAGAAATATACATATCTGTATCGTGTAAACTCATCCTTGAATAATACGAAGTATCGATATCCCGAAAAACTTGCAGCGAAGGGACCACAAACGTCAGAGTGTATACGTTCACCAGACTTGGTAGCTTTTTCGCTAACACCAAGTGGTTGTCTATGTGCTTTTCCAAAAACACACCCTTCGCATAGTTCTCCATTATCTGACGTCTTTATTCCTAGTTCTCTCTCTATCAATCCTTTGACGTGCTGTTTATTTTGATGTCCTAACCTTTCACGGTATAATTAAAGTTTATCTCCATGCTCAATTAAATTGATTGAAACAGCAGGGCGTACGGCTTTGCAATCTATCTTATACAGACCACTATACTTTTGCCTTTTCCCTGTTAAAACAATACCATCATTAACCTTCATTGAACATTTTGTCACCCTTCACTCAAATAGGCTTGTGGGATTTCTATCCTGTGAACTAAGCACTGAGAAAAGGTTTTTGTTAATCTGGGGAACATACCAAACATCTTTTAAGAAAAGGTTTTCAATTTTATCTCTAACATTGGCTTCAACATGAACTGTAACTTCACAAAACCAGCCACTCTAACTTCACAAAATCTAGAAGTGTGTTATTGTACAAATCTTTTGCTGCATCACCGCTTCCATCTGCGGGTCGTACCGGCTTTTGTGTTTTACCAACCACAATATCCATGAGCCCGTCCATACCTCTTAGCAAGGCTGTCATTCGGCACTTCCGTGATACCCAATTGTGGCCGTATTGTTTCGTTAATTGAATTTTGATAGGATTTCACTCATTGCCTTGCGGGCCTGGGTCCATAACCAGTTGGAGTTGGTGGTGGATAGAAGATGTGGAAAGCTTAAGCTTGTTTAATTAACCTAGATAAACACAAATAAATAGATTCCATTCTATTTCCTTAATGGCGGCCACTAGGCTTGTAAAGTACTTTTATTGACAGATTTCAAAATAACAAACAAACAGGTTCTAGTTGTCATAGTAACCCTTTTTTTTAACAAGAATCAATCTGCATGAAAATAATCAATGTGCCTAGCTTAAGCGCCCAGTTCTTAGAGGATGGAAAAAAAATAAAAGTATAGTCTAAGGCCCAGTTACACGAGGAGTAAGTTTTTGCGCATTACCACGCCTTCATGTACATTAATGGCGAATCTGAATTCTATTTAGACAACAACATTTAAATTCCTCTGAACAACACAAACGCGCGGCCGCCGCGTGGACCACCGCGTGGACCGCCGCGAGGACCACCGCGTAAACCAAATTCAAGCCAGCCTCGCCCGCGTGTCTAGGATGCTTATTTAAATTAAAACGTACAAGCTAAATATATAAAGCGTATTTTGCCATGACAATTAGACACACGCGGTCGCTTTGCGGCGGCCGCGCGGGGTGGCGCGATGAAATTAATTCGTGTCGAATAAATACGCCCTAATCGTTCTGGAATTTTATCAGTTATATTTTAAAAAGAACAGCCGAGCTGCTTTTTCGCCGGCGCGAACCGTATGACCATGCGCCCAGTGGGAAGCCAGCTTAAGACAGAAATATAAAGATCATTGGCAGAGATACAATTTTCTTGTTTTTGAGAGTGTTTGGAAAATGACAGATCAACAGCACCATTTTTTTTCCATCCTTTAGGACCATAAATCATGCCCCAGTTCCCCAATCGAGTAATAACAAGTGTTGTACACTATGCTTCGGTGCAACAAGCCTTAGAGGATGAAAAAGATAGTCTAAGCAGCAAGCAATATGACAGGTGACACTGACTGATATTTTTCCTTTTTTTTTCTTGTACCAGTTCGCCAATATTGAAATTTTAGTGTCTTATTGAGAAGGGTCTTTTTATTTTTATGTCGTACACATATATATTATGAAATAATATATTAATGACAGGATATACCAGCGTAATATTCTAATCTACGATAAAACCTGGTAAATAAACAACAACAGTTTTATAAAACAGAAATAAAATAGACGTTTTATTTTCGACCAAAACAATTGACTCTTCACTGAGTTATGTACGAGTATCATGATTGAATCAAAACAATTGAAGTGTCTATTCAATTATGCTAATTGGCCAATAAGTACCATTGTAGGAACAATCAACTGAATTGTGTCGTTAATATCAGTGCAGTGTCAGTAACAGTTTCAACGTGGTAGCCTTTAGTTCCTTTTATTGCCATGTTAAAGATATGTTTCTCGATCAATCACAATTAACATTCACCAGTTGGTTTCAAGTAATACTAAAACTTATTTGCGAATGGGTATTATCAGATGTGACGGTATCAAAGAGTAGATCACTAAATTTATCAAAGACCAAGTCACAAGTTTCCACGAACTGTTCTTCTTCAGTTTTTGAATTGCAGGAGCATGTTTTCCAGGAGATGTAATCCGAATAGTCATCGTTTTCTGCTTCTGTGACGACACTTTCGTAATTATTTCTATGGATTGTTGTTGCATTTTCTGAATTTGCATCCAAGTATTCATCATAAATCTCATTTTTTACGTCATCATATTCCATGTTTGTCTCGCAGATGGTTTCCTTATTTGCGTTAACGTCAAAACTATCATTATTATTTACTTTCTCGTTAATTGCCTTAGGCATAGATTTCGCTAGCTTATCATAAGATGGTTTTAGGCTACCTTCTATTTCTGTCTTGTAAACGCAAATCATCTTGTGAACTATCGGATTTTTAGTTGTACCTGATAGTCTTACATTCTTGCAAGTATTTTTGTTTAAATTGGTATACAAACCGTAGTCATATACATCGCCTAATAAATTTGATGCTATTTGCGTCTTAGGACGCTTAGTTTTTTTAACCTTCGTACAATCTAGTGATGCCGGAACACATTTTTTTGTCAAATAATCTCTCTTGCTTTTGCCGTGATGCAGTCCTTTGGTCACTGTTGATTCACGTATCCTGCTTGTTGTATCTAAAAATCAAATTTTATTCTCTTTATACAAGTCAAAATCATTATCCACTCATTACTTGACACTGATCTCCTTCAAGAGGAGGAGTAAGACCAGTTGCGTTAACGTGCAGAGACTCCTGTGGTGTTAAAAGTTCCCTAACTCGCATCGGACCCGTTAGACGACTTAAATTTATCACTTGTCAAGACTTGAGTCATAGTAATCTTTCCAGTTTCAGGTAACGTTCCCATAAATCAAAATCTCACAACTATACAATTTTAATAATTGTAATCAAGATCAATCAAGACGACCACAAACGAAGCCGCTAGCAAAGGCGTATTTTTTATATGCTTAATTTCATAAAAAACAAAATTGTAATAACCCCGAATGTGATGAAATATTTCCTTACTATTATAACATCACCGACTACGTCCTTAGTTACTAGGAGCGTAGTTACAAAAAATATCTTTTTCACCAAGTCGATACCCACCTACCTTTCTTTTTGTTCCATGATGAGTTATTAGCCTTAAATATTTTTTTATCGCCGTCTTTCCCATGACGGTTATTCGTACATATATCGTTTATGTTACCATCAACAAATTTTAGGTACGAAATTTTTTCTACAATTGTTTTTAAAAAGCCTAGCTCTTGGTTGACATCGTTATTATTGTCACCATTGTTTTCTTCTGGTTCAAGTACAGATGACAAAAAACATCTGTTCAGATCTTCAATACTTTGATATGATTCATGACAAAAGTTAATGAAACGAGCACTTCTTGTTTTTTTCATATTTTTGTTCACTTTTTTAGCTTTCTCTTCCATAGTCTCTACTCCACATGATGGCGTCTTCATAGTCGTTTTGTTTTTTAAGAGCTTATTTACTTTTTTATTTTTCGTTGTAACATCAACAATGTCATTCTGCAAATTATAAAATCATAATGATACATGCTTATTTATTTCAATGCGTCTACTGGTAATAATGAAACTTATTTTTTTTTCATATTGTACTTAAAATGAGTTGACACATTTACAACTGCAAACGGCGTTTCTCGATCAAAAGCATTAGAAAACTGTATTTTTGGTATTGTAAGGACAATATGTGCCTTTTATTTGTTTATTTTATCTATTATATTTATAAACTACAACCTAGCGTTTTGATCCTAAATTATTTTAGAAAAATTCAAGCTATTTTATATTGTATTATGGCTAGCTACCTCAGTGTAGTTTGAAGTTGATGGTCTCTGCTTGTGTCTTTTCTTGTTAGCAATTTTAATTTGTTCTTCTTTTTTTTGTTTAGGATATTTCGGATTCAAAGTCCATGTAACATGTTCATCTGTTAATACAAAAATATTGGTTCTAGATTAACAAAACTAAACAACTTGAGAGTCTTGTAAAATGTTATATACATAAAAGTTCATTGGGCGTTTCGTTTTTTGTCGCTTCGGCGTTAGTTATAGTCAGTCGGTAACTTAGAACGGGATTATTATTAATTTGAAACCTCTTAACACTACATTTGAAAAATCCGCCATATTTTTTTAATTTCTCACCTTCTCCTTTTAGAATTTTCTTGCTATGCGGTTTATCATTATATTTGCGGTGATTGATCGCTTTCAGAGAATTCACTTTGAAAAATGAAAAGTTAATTAGAATATTAATATACCTTATGGAAATTGATAAAAAGGATACATTTTACATGAAGCCGTAAATTTTTTAATCGTATTTTAACTGATTGTTCAGGATAATTGAACAATACGATAGATTTTTGGATTATAAATCAAATGGTCCATGAGGCACTGATTTGTAGTCACAACATTGGTAAAAAAGTATCTTTGAAAAATATTAAGCCATCGAAATGATAATGGATGATTTTGATTAAAGATAGTTTTGCGCCAGCCTCAAAAACGATGTAAAACCGACCTTTAGATTTAGAGGTACCACGAAATGTAGGCATTTTCTCTTGACTGTGGCGAAGCCAAAATGGTAGTTTTCATAATAAAATGCTATTTAAACATTATCTATTACTCCTCCTTGATTTCGGAAATATGTATTTAATTTCAAGTAATGAAAAGTGTATTATTTTGTAACATGATTTGATATCATTAGGTAATTTGCTTTTTATTTTTTAGTTTTTATTTTTGTTTTTGCTTACTGGTACAGTTTTGTCATGGAAGTACATGTTTTCTTTCTGCTGACAAAGTGCTTGACGTGTACTTTTTTTTGGTACTATTTTTTCCATTGTCAAAGGCAAAGGCACTAATGCACCATAGAGTCAAGACTGAGAGTAATCTCTTTCTTGTATTGAATCGACCATGATATAGTGTTTAAGATCACAAATCGTTATGCCTCGCCTTCAATCACTTTGGCTGTCCGCACGTTTTCAGATGGGGCTCCGGACTGTCCATTCTCAATATCCGAGCCATTGGTTATACATGTAGAACTACAGAGTACAGATTATTTTAAAAGTCCACTACTATAAAACTTTGTAATGGGATTTTTTTTAATTTATTTGGTGTACCTAAAGCTATTACTTTGCGACTTATTTCCTAGGTACAATCTTAGAATAATAACGCATAGAATGATAGTTTCATATCAAACGAACTGTCACAAGTGAGGCAAAAATCAAATTCATGTAGGCTAGTTGTAGTAGTAGGTTAATTTTCGGTTTTAGTGAATATTTATATAAAAATACAATATGAAACGCGTTACTTCCTTGTGGAATGTGATGGTAGTATCTATTTTATGTTTGTCTGGCGTATTTTTACACTTATTTATTTATTCGTCATTTTTAGCTATAATTCTTGATCTGTTCGCGGTGCAAGTTGACCTTGTCTCTCGTGTAGGCCCATTGAGCGTGCTTCAATTTGCCTCACTTAGCGTGTGCGAACTAGGTTTCTATGCGTTATTATTCTAAGGGTACAATAATGTAATGCACAACTATTACAGGTAAACACCTCATGCAAAAAAAAATGGCAAAGGAACTTATAACATTTAACTTAACTGTGCAGTGAGCAGTAAAATTATTGAAAATTGTATGCCTTTCTTTTTAAAAAGTATTAAAATAAAATAAAATAGCATTTTTTTGTATAAACGTAGTTAGTTATTAGTATAACAAATACTAATAACTACCTATGTTTATACAACAAAATGTTGCGCTTATACAACAAAACTGTTTTATTTTATTTTAATACTTTTTAAAAACAAAGGCATACAATTTTCAATGATTTTATTATTGTAAGAAATGATAAGACCACTGTTTGGTACAATACAGCCCCATGTGATCATATTAGATATGAACGCCGATAATAGACCTACCGGCGGCGGCGGCGCGCCGACGTAAAGGTGTGGCGGTGGTGGCATTTACAAAAACGGTTATACAAATACTTTTTCAAAGGGAAAAATAAAACAACGCATTTTCTATAGTACCTACTTAATCAAATTTTTATCAGTTCGACCAAGTGCTCCGATCATTAAAATTTGAAACTGCTGATAATATTAAGTTCATTAATTTTGTTTATCATTTTTTTAATAATTTAATAACTACTGACACAAACAAAAAGTGACAATTACGATAAATTTATAGGGCGAAACCAAATAGCCGCCATTTTGCGGTAGGAGGAGCGCATCGCGTGAGCGGTTATCTTAGAAAAGCAGTGATAATCAAAACACCCTCGCGCACTGCACGCATGGTAGAAACGACAAACAAAAACTCGAAATACGATTTTTGCTTTCAAGTTCTGTTTACACGGAGACGTTCAACATGCAAAGGCGAGGCGATTATCGCTCACGTGGAAGGGCGATAATCGCGAATGTTTAGACGAGGAAAGTTTTTTTATATTCTTTCGATAATCGCATCTTCGAAACGAGAAACTCTCTGTTTATCTAAAAGGGCCTTTATTGTGTATGCGTAGCGTAGAGGATGGAAAAAAATAGTCTGAGATGCGTAGTGAAAATGGCAGCGCCAAAACTTGATATTTCTATTCTAAGATAAAACTTAATGATTTTATATTCGAAGATGTTTTCTTTCTCAAACATTATTGGCAACTATAGTTGACAATGACGATGTTGCACCAAACGTTATTGGTAGCTATAGTTGCCATCAAAAATAATACCGCCACGCCGACATTCAAAATAACATCCCAGTAAAACCATGTTTTTTCTAAGTTTCGCGAAGCTAGTAAGGCAGCCACTTCAACTATCTGTCTTGTTCCCCTGTGTTCCTCAATAAAATCCGTGTCAGAGACAACTCTTTGTGTGAATGTGGTCTGGACGAGGGTACCCTTGGTCACATTTTCTTTAAATGTCCTAAATTGACTTCCTCCTTGTAGGACCTCCTTCCTTCCTTCATTCCTCGTCCTATAAACCTTAAATCCCTCCTTCTTAATGTGTATTCTCCCTTTATTAACATTTAGTGTTATTTTATATGCTCTAATAATGCTTTCATTGGTTGTTTGTCCATGATTGTTTGTTTTTTACCCCAGGTATGGTAGCGTTATTTAAAATTTTATGACTCGCCTGTTTGAATAAAGTAATTTTATTCATAGATTGTTTAAACATTTTTTTTTTAAATAAATAATAATAATAATTCATTTATTCGCTTCAAATAGATAGGATAGGGTAGATTCTACATGTTGTTAGTAAAGAATTAAATCAGCACTTAAACCTATTGGGCCTTCTTAAATAAAAGCATGCAAATACAATAATCTAATAATACACTGATAGATTAAGACTAAATGTAAAAACAATAATTAGACAATAAATTGATAAATTAAAGTTAATTGTTTTAATATGAGATTTCATAATCGTGAATGTCATAATTTTAAGTAAATAATGGTAATTGTAAAGAAAACTGTGTGCATCAATTAATTAGTCCTTATATTAATGAATTCGTCAACAGAGTGGAACAAATTATCAAATTATCTTTTTGAAACTAGGCAATGGAAGAAGCTTAAAACGTATGATTAAAATTTTTTCCACACAAACGTACGAGTTATTTTGGAAACGTTTTGTTTTGGGTATTGTATCCAAGTATCACTTTATTGGCGTTCCTTAGGCTTCTGACAGTTACGTCATTCGCTATTCGATGAATTATGATAGATTTCATTGCACAAATATACCAACTTCGAGTATGTGCCAAGTCGTGCGCGTGGCTGTAAGCGGTACTCCTGTTCATAGCAGTTGCAGTGCCACTCAGAGCTTTAAATTGCAAAGATCTGAGGCGCACTGCCTCTGCGCCCATCACCCTGAGACATAAGTTGGCAAATCGCACGTGCCTGTAATTTTACCAGCACCCTTGCCATTCAAAACTAGAACACAGCAATGCTGACGTTACTGTTTGGTGGCAGAAATTGATAAGGTGGCAGTACTTCCCTGGGCTAACTCTTTCATAAGGAGCTTTTACGCGGCTGTTGAAGGCAAGTTAGCACCCTTAGTCCTGGGTTCACCGACAATCTGTATATCTCCCAAGACTCTCTAAAAAAACGAAAAGTTATTGCTCACATTACTGCTTGGAGACAGTAATAGGTTAGTTGGCAACACTTCCCTAAACGAATTCTTTCACAAGAAGGACTACTACAAATTGAATAATTCATTATTCACCCAACTCTGAGATGAAGACAAAACCTTACAACAACATAATTGTCATTGTAATATAAAAAAAAATATATTGGGAAGTCAAGAAAATATTTACATGCTCAACTACACGGACATTTTCATCGTGCAGTTGAAATTGAGCTCATAAATATTAAAATTTAACATTATACTATGTGTACAATGAATAATAAGTCTGTACAGTTTGTTTACATTACATAGACAATATTACGATTTCTGTTTGTTACAATTTTCTTGACGCATCTGTAGACCGTGAAATTGTTATACTTAGTATAAATAAACATATTTTTTTCGTTATCATTACCTCAATTTATGTAAAAAACCATAATGATAATGTAGTCGTAACAAATTAGTGTAGTTTGGATTAAAAACGCTACAGGTAAATCACAAACAATCAAAATTAAATCTACGTACAGTCATATACACAAGGTACCTGACCCCACCAGCCGACTTTTCCGACCTTCTGGTTCTGAACACAAAAATGCGGAGAATATTGTTAAGATGAGAAAGCGACACAATATCTATAAAAAAATTAAAGAGAGTGCTATTAGAAAAATGTTATTATGCTGTTTCAGTTTATTCAGGATAATGATTTAAAAAATTAATTTATTTATTTTAAGTGTGTCCTCCGCACCAGTTTGCTGTGCCCTATCCAGGGTCTATAATGATCTGTTAAATATTAAACCTACCATAAAACATTGTATAAAATGCAATAAAGCATTGATTGATTGATTAAAAATACTACTGAAAAAAGAAATGTACGCGATTTAGGTTCGAAAAATAGTTTCATTTCTTTTTTTGTTTAGTTTTGAGAGTCTTTTCGTTATCTTAGAAAATAGTGATATATAATTCATTGGTTGGTATATAATTAATCAGTAAGTGACTTCGGTTTTTAAGTTGTACAGGTTCGTTTATTAAGTTTAGCAATTTATTTCAGCTGGTAACTACTGGTACTACTGGTAATTGTTGTTATTTTTTAACCGACTTCAAAAAAGGAGGAGGTGCTCAAGACTGTATGCTTTTTTGTATGTATGTATGTTACGCTATAACTCCGGTATTTGTGAACCGATTTTCATGATTTTTTTTTTTTGTTAAAAAGATAGTGGTCTTCCATAGTGGTCCCATTTAATTTTGAAGAAAATCATCCACCTCTAAGGGTGGCGGTTCGCGCATGACCATTCATTTTTATAAATAGTGCCTGAATTTTATCATAAGGAGCAATTATTTTGATAGTTGATTTTGCTATTCTCCAATTCAAGGCCATTTCTCCAATTTTCTCTCAATATACTTTGAGTAGAGAGAACCGATTTTTATTTTCTCCAGTATCAAGTCCCGTATAATAGC